GGAGCTGCCTGCCTGGGCCCGGTGGATCTAGAGCCTCATTCCTGCCCCAGAGCCCATGTGGCCGTGTAAAAGCCCAGGAGGACCTGCAGCCTGGAAGGATTCTCTTCCCTCCCGTTGAGTCTTTGCATCCACTGTGCCTGCCTAGGAGCGGTCCTGCCTGCACCCCAAGTCCCCCGAGCCTGCTGAAGGCCCCTGTCCAGGTCCCCCCACCCCCAGCCTGACCACGGGGGCTCAGGCTCTCTCTTGATCAGCCTGCTATTTTGAGCAGGCCACTCGTGTGTTTCCAGAGCCATTTCCTGAAGCCCCAGGTTCTCTCCTGCCCCTGTAGAAGCAGCATCCTGCGTGGGAAGAGTTGGCCACAAGTTCACACTACCCCAGAGCAACCCAATTCATCTGAATATTAGCCTCCAAATTTTCAAGGTCACACCCTGCCCGCCACTAGTGTTCAAGTCCACAGATACTCGCCCGGGTCCCACCGAAAGCCGCTGGCCGCGTTCACGCAGCTTCCCCACTTTCTGCTCTCTTGTTCATTTCCTCAGTGTCCCCAGCCAGCACACCACATGTTGGGGTCTCAGAGGAGGCTTTTTCTTCCCTGCCTGAGGTTCTGAGAGGTTGAAAAATCAGATGCAGTGGAGCCCTGATGTTGTCCTGTCCGCTAAGAGTATGAGGTCAGAGGGTGGAGCGTACGGAGGCAGCGGGCAGAGGGCCTGTCTTTGTTTCTGGGAATTTCCCACAGGAGCAGAGTGAGTGAGGGGTGGAGGCCTGGGAGCGGCCCTGGCTGAGCCCCAGCCCAGGAAGCAGCATCCGAGTGGGAAAGGCACGTTGCCACAGTGCACGCCATACCCTCCTCACACTTTCTACCCCCATCAGCACGGACCCCCGTGTTGAGCGACTCCCGCTCCTGCAGCCTCCGGGCCTCACAGGTGGGCATCCCAGTGGGACCTCTGAGACCCCACTCTGTGGTGCAGTGCTAGTCCTGAAGGCCTACCTCTTGGGATGAAGAAGATTTTCTTAACTTCTGTCTTCCTGGGGCTGTTTGACTCTTCTGCCCCAGGGCCTGGGCCAACTGGATGTAACCAGTCCAGCCAGATGGGTCTGACTGAGGACACTTGGGTTCTCCTGGGCCTTGGTCCTCGGTGGTTATTAACCCACCGGTGACTTGGGTTAGTCACTTCCCTGCTGTGGGACTCAGCTTTTTTCTTTGTGGAGGGGGAGGTTTAGGTTAGATGATTTTTTAAGAGAGGCTCCAGATGTCTGTGTCTCTTCTCTCTCTTGGCATCCAGGAGAGAGCAGGGGACTTGCCAGGGTGGTGGGCAGTGGGCTCCAGTTCCAGCCAGTGGGCAGAAGGCAGGCTGTCTGGAGACCATCTGCAGCCAGTCACATGGCCTGTCCTATTTCCAGATAGAATACCTTGACCCCTCGTCTCAGCTCACAGGTGAGGAGACTGAGGCTCCGAGGCAGCCAGGACTTAGCAGCTGGTCTTTTTGCTGAATTCCATGTTTTCTGTTCCTCTCATATCTCCAGTCAGCCCTCCTTCCAGAGCCCTGGTTTCCTCATTGGTGAAGTGCAGGTGGGGTGGGTGGCCCGAGGCGGCTCTGCGCGCTCACCTTCCCGGCCTTGAGGTGGAGGCTGTGCTGTGCTGCCACCTGCTGGCGCAGTGGCAGACTGGCGTTGGCGGCACTGTGTGTGTCTCTTGGGGGGGTGGGAGCCCCAGTTCTTCCCAGCCTCCGCCACACGTTTAAATCTAAGTGGTGTCAGCAGCTCGGGGCCGAGGTTCATTCTCTATCAAAACATGATTTCTGTGGGTGGAACTGTGGTGCCCCGGCCACGGCTGGGCTTCAGGTTCTGCTCAGTACCAGTCGGACAGTCCTGTAACCCGGCGCCTTGCTCCCCTCTGACCCCACCACAGTGCCTTCTCCCCAGGGCCGCCAGCGTGACAGAGACTCGGGCATGGTGTGTGTGTGTGGGGTGGGGGCTGGACTGTGCTGGACACGTGAGCTTGCTGTGTGCCCAGCAGCTCTGTGATGTCAGGGCCCCGTGGTTGTCCCCCTTACAGATGGGGAGGCTCGGTAAGGTTAGGTGGCTCGCCCTGGGGCACACAGCCAGTCGAGTCTTTGCGAGGCCAGAGCCCTGCTTTTCTCCATCTGCCACGTTGCCCTCCCTCAGGCCTGACCTTGGCGTTGTGCTTCTCACCCCCTCTTGTGGCCCTCTTGTTTCTGTGCTTTTAAAGTCCAAATTTCTCGGGGTGACATTTGAAGCCCTCGTGGGTGCCATCTGCCACCATCGCCCGGCCCCAGCCATGTCCCCATGGGTCGGCTCCTTGTTCTTGCTGTTTCCTGCTGCCTGGGGAAGAACAGTCCAGCAGGCACACACAGACACCTCTCTCTTCCCCTTTGCCTGCCTCACCCTTCCCAGCCCCGCAAGACTGGCCCAGGGGCTCTGTCCCTTGTGGCACGGGGCCCTCAGGTGTCCCCCAGCATTGAAACACCGTATCATGAGCTCTGGGTTCCTCGATGGTTCCTGTTAGGAGATGAACTCTCGGGCTCCAGACTGTGAAGGCCCTGGAGTTTGCTAAATGGAGGATGGATGGACAGACAGACAGGTGAGTGGGTACATGGGCAGCCCAACCCCTACTCTTGGACGGTCAGTCCCTGCTCCAACCAGGCAGGCCCCACCAGTGTAGAGCCAGATCTGCCTGAGGCCCTGTCTCTGTTTAAACTGTAACCCCCCTTGGAAGAGTAATTCCCAGACCCTTGTCAGGGGCAGCATTGTGGGGGAGGCAGGGCACCCCCCCATAAGCTGCCTTGTCGGGTTCACCAGTGTCCTGAGCCCACCCTGTGGTCCCTTTGCTGGCAGAGCCCCGTGTTCTGGACCAACCCAAGGGCCTTCACGCTCCACCCTACCCCCTCCAACAAAACCCCACCAGCAGCATGCCCACCCGCCAGCATGCCCCTGTCCCAAACCAGAGGCCAGGAAGTTCCGTAGAAAGTGCAAGAGGTGGTGATGTGGGACTGAGCATGCATTCTGACCCACCACCGACCTGTGTGATCAAGTAGGACATGCTGCCTCTCACCTCCTGGTGTTCTGGTTGTGACTTTTGCGTTTTTGTAGGACTCCGCCTGTGTGACTCTCCAGTTTATCTAGGACTCTGCCTGTGTGACTTTTGAGTTTACCTAGGACTCTGTGTGACTTTCCCATTTACCTAGGAGTCTGTCTATGTGACTTTCCCGTTTATCTAGGACTCCACCTGTATGACTTTTGCATTTACCTAGGACTCTGTGTGACTTTCTTGTTTACCTAAGATTCTGCCCGTGTGACTTTCGCGTTTACCTAAGACTCTGCCTGTGGCCCCTTGCCGGCAGAGCCCCATGCTCTGGACCTACCCAAGCACCTCCACATCCCACCCTACCCCCACCAACAAAACCCACTGTTGCTACAGCCCGGCTCCTCTGGGCATTTGATCTTCCAGGTGACTGCTTGTTGAACAGATAAACTCATGGGTACAGTTGAGATCCCCTTTCAGGTACCATCCTGACCCACAGGTTAGCAGAGGCCTTACACTACTATGGTCGGATCGTCAATGCATCCAGAGGGTGCGGGGAGGGGAGACTATCAGCAGGAGAAGCTTACTCAGAAAGCAGCAGGGTCAGGCTGGGGACCTCTGAGGCGCTTTATCTGGGAGACTGTAGCCAAGCCTGGAGTTTATCCTTCCCTGATTCACGGCTGTTCTCATCGAGGCCACTAGGTAGCAGTAGGGAGCCAGAACAGCTCCTGTGCCTGGCTCCCCCTCTCAGCTGTGTGACTCACCTGTCCCCCTTGTCTCCACAGTAGGATATGGCTCCTGGTTTGAGCACGTGCAGGAATTCTGGGAACACCGCATGGACTCAAACGTGCTTTTCCTCAAGTACGAAGACATGCATCGGGTGAGTTGTGCTGGATGCCATGTCTGCTGAGGACTCCGTGGCCCTCGTTCTAGCAGTTCCTGACGCTGGAGCTGCCGGCTGTGTGCGGGGTGCACGGAGCCTGCTCCCCCTTGGAGATGGCAGGTGGTGTAGCTAGAGGTGCCTTGCACAGCCACCCGAAGACCTGAGTCCTGGGGGCGAACTCGGGACTCAGAAGTTCCATCGTGTGTCAGAGTCCCCTGTGGGCCTGTGCTCACGCCTGTGGCCCCTCTCCCCTCCCCGGACCCGCAGACCCACAGGCAGCTTTTAGGATATGTGTGTGCATTGCGTTAGAAAGCCCTTGCGCATTCCTTTTCCGGAAGTAGTACAACACCCGGGCTCACCGCTGCCAGCCCACGCTCTCCACAGGTGACCAGTTTGGGGGCAGAGTGAGCCTGAGTGCCTCAGAGTGGCATTCAGGCTGCTGGCCGACCCTGCAGGGCTACCTGTGGGTCGGCTCGTGTGACACGTGGCTCTGAGTGCCCCACGTGGTGCTGCCTGGCACAGGAGGACAAGCACCAGGTGTGGTTGAGTGAATGCATGCTCACTGTGCCGGCTTGACGGGTGGGCAGGGCAGGAGCCAAGGAGTCCGGACCCGCTCTCAGGAGCCTGCTGTCCAGAACTTACCATGTTGTCACCAACACTTGGTTGTCGGGTGCCATCGAATCAGATTCAACTCATAGTGACGCCATGTGACAGAGTAGAACTGCCCCGTGGAGTTTCCTTGGCTGCAGTCTTTACGAGTGTATGTCCATGTCTTTCTCCTGTGGAGCCACTGGGTGGGTTTGACTCACCATCATTTTGGTTAGCAACCGAGCACTTAATCGTTGCGCCACTGGGGCTCCTTTCACCAACACTTGAAGGCCCTTCATATGTGCTAGGGACTCTGCCCCAAGGGCCCTCGCATACCCGTGAGCCAGTGAATTCATGGGACAGCTCTGCCCCCTGCCAGGTCTGTACGGCAGTAGGGGAACGGGCTGATAATTCTCTTCCCTTAAAACAAATCAGCCTTCTCTCAGCCCCCCTTGCCTTCCCAGTCCTGCCCCTTTTCTCTGCTCCTCGTCTCTGTGAAGCTCCTCAGAGTTGTCACTCGCGCCTACACTCCTCTCGTTTTGTTTTCAGTTGAGATGGAATTCTCATACCACAGATTCACCCTCTGAAATGTACACCTGAGTGTGGCCATCACCACTGTCTAGTTCCAGCACGTTTTCCTCATCCCGCCCGGTGTTATTCTCTCCTGAGCCCACCCCACCAGGAGGCCCTGCGCCCCCTAAGCTGCCTTGTCGGGGTCACTGGTGCCCTGAGCCCACTCCACCAGAAGGCCCCGTGCCCACTAAGCTGCCTTCTTGGGGTCACCGGTGCCCTGAGCCCACCCCACCAGTAGGCCCCGTGCCCCTAAGCTGTCTTGTCGGGGTCACTGGTGACACCGCATTGTGTGGCCCAGCAGTCGGTGCTCAGGGCCCATCTTACCTGGCCTCCCGCAGCATTTGACCCGACCATATCCTTCTCTAGCCTTCCAGGAGCCCTACCCTTCTGCACCCCCTGCACCACTCGCTGGCCCTGCTCACTCTCCTTTGTTGGGTCTTGGTCTCCTTGTCTTCTGACTGGTGGCCGCCCAGGCTCAGCCCTTGGCCTCGTCTCCCCTCCCCACTCCCTGGTGATCCGGCATTCTTCTGACCCTGAGTAGCACCACTGCCCTGAAGCATCCAGCCAGCTGTGTGCCTGCTGCAGGCGTGCGTGGCCAGGGCCCATCCCACCTCCCGCGCCGGCATGTGCTCGATGCTGCAGACTAATGGGTGCAGACCCTGCTTGAGCTCCCCTCAGGTCCTCGCGGCTTCTGCTCCATCCTCCCTGCTCTTCATGCAGGATCTTGAGTCGTCCTTGCCTTCTCTCTTTCTCACACCCTCTGTCCAGTTTCCAAATCCTCTTGGCTCTACCTTCAGAGCGTACCTCTCGTCTGACTATTTTCCCCCAGCTCTGCGCTGTCTCCCTGGTCCAGGTCAGCATCCTCTCTGCCCCAGGATGGCGCTGCTTCCTGGACTCACTCCCTGCTTTGTCATCTCAGTGAGCAGCTGATGGTCACACGGGGGGCAAGTCCCGTCACGTCCCGTAGGGCCCCCCCTCACTCCTGCTGAACTGCACCCCCATCCCCACTTGGGGTCAAGTCAGCAGGCACCGGCTCCTTCTCTCTCATCCCCACTGACCCCAGGGTAGATTAGTGGGCACCAGTCCCCCCCGAATCCCCACTCACCTGGGGCCAGGTCAGTGGGCACGGGTCCCTCTCTGTGTCTTAGGTTCGGTAATCCATCGGGATGACTCCCCAACTGCAGGGAGAGGGCTGTCTTTACCCCGGAAGGAAAAAGGACACAAACCTGAGGGCAGTGTCGCTAGGGGGCTGGCACAGAGCTTCCGTGCCCCCAGGGGATGCGCACCCTCCCAGAGCAGAGTTTTCGCTCTCCTCAGACCGCAAGCGCCCGTGAGCCAAGGTGTTTTATTGGCCTCACCACGGCCTCCTGAGGCTTAGTCAGCAGGGGGCCCCCAGGTGGTCCCTTGTGGTTGGTAGGCCCCACTCATTGACTCAGGTGTGGGCCTGTTCGCAAGAACCAGGACCATAGGCCAACTGGTTTACTGCAAAGGGGTTCCCTGCCTGGCAGCAAGCCTCTACTTCAGGCTTTTCCAGCTGCCATACTCCCATCTAGAATGTTCTTCCCCCAGTGCACACAGGTCACTCCCCACTGTGTCAGTGAGCCTTCCCCGACCCCCATTTACAAGTGCGCCGCTCCCCCTCCCCAGCTTTGCCCTTTTTTTTTTTGTTTCTTTTTGTTGCCGGGTTTTCCGGTCTTTTCCGTGTTTTTCCCCTTTCGGGTTTTCTTTGGGTTTTCCCTTGTTTGACCAACCCCCCTTGGGGTTGGGTTTTTTTTTCTTGTTGGTCGGTTTTTTTCCCGGCACTTCAGTCTGTCCTGGCACTTGGTAGGCTCTGAGTAAATACCCCTCCAAGGCAAGAACTTTTCTCCTCACGAGTGAGGCTCTGGAGGCCCAGGGAGGCTCAGGAGCTGCGTGGCCACACAGCCCTGCGGGGTCGGCACACCCACCCCGTGTACAGATGGAACCTGAACACTGGCTCTGTGGCCGTGGTGCGCTGCCTCTCCCACAGCCCCGTGAGGTCGGTGCCTCCACCCCGTGTACAGGTGGAGCCGGGACGCTCTGGCTCTGTGGCCGTGGTGCGCTGCCTCTCCCACAGCCCCGCGGGGTCGGTGCCTCCACCCCCGTGTGCAGATGAGGACACAAGGTTCAGAGAGGCTCGGCTCACTGACGAAGCTCAGACGCCCTGGCATCGGCGTCCTGATCGAAGTCTGCCTGACTCCAAAGCTTGGTTTCATGACCACCAGCAGCCCCGTGAGCACCTAGCTGGACGCAGACTGGCAGACACTGATGTCGTCCCTTCTTCTCTGAGATGATGTCACACCAGGGACACAGGGCACAGACTGGGACTCTGCTGGTCACTCAGCAGGCTGCTCCCCCCCGGGGGCTCCCCCAAGGGCTGCCCCCGAGGCCAGGCTGCTGTTGCTGTGGTTCTGAAACAGAAACACTCGCTGACGGGGCAGGTGAGGTGAGCTCTGTGTATTCTCCTGCCCACCTCTCATGTCTCCGGCCACCCAGTCCCAGCCAGGCCTGGGCACAGGAACATGGAGCGCACTTGGTGGGGGGCAGACCCGCATGGAAGCTGATGTCTAGAGCCCCGTGAGGCCTCAGTTGTTCCCATGGGTCCCAGAGGGCAGCTGGCAGTCCCAGCAGCCTCCCAGGGCATTTCTCAGGGTTGGGAAGTGTTACATGAAGGAAGTTCTGCAGGGTTCTTGTTGTAGGCCTTCTTGGGGGGGTTGATGGCGGTGGGGGGCTTAATATGCTGATTTTCTTTGTAAACCAGCAGTTGAGAGGAACTTCAGTGGGTCCCTCTACAGGTGACACTGCCTGCTCAGGAAGGGGGACCCTACCAACAGCTCGGGTCGTGGCCAGAGCACTCTGTGGGACACCAGTTGAGAGACCGGGGTGTCTTGGTGTTTCCTGGGGAGTAGGGTGTGGAGGGCAGCGTGCAGGGTCCCCCACAGTGCCTGTGGTGCCTGCTTTTACCTGCTGTCTGAGGGACAGTGGGGCCCACTGTGTGGCTTTGTGTCCAGGGAGCCAAGGAGAGCAGACTCTTGCTTCCCATCAGCCAGGTGAGTGGGCTGGGGCGCGGGCTGGCCCGCGGGCCTCCTTCCCCCTGAGAGCCAGTCTAGATCCAGCAGACAGTGTGGGAGGAAGGGACGGGGAGAGTGAGCCCGGTCTTGCTCCTGGCAAAGTTCTGAAGTAAATTTTTACTTCTTGCTGCCGTTTTAAAATTGTGAAGACTCCACGTCTGCTTCCAAATTCCCTGGAGGACCTGGGTTGGAATGCCAGGTCTGCCACCTGATAGCTTCATCTCTCAGTTTTATTCCAGACCCAGCTCACGCCAGCGTGCTTCAGGGACCCAGTCGGAGGGGCACGGGAAGGGCCTGCCTGTGTCAGCCGAGCACTGTGCAGTGGAAGGCGCCACCTCTAAGGGCTCCTGTGCTCTCGTCCTCTCTTCCAGGACCTGGTGACAATGGTGGAGCAGCTGGCGCGGTTCCTGGGGGTGTCGTGTGACAAGGCCCAGCTGGAGTCCATGACCGAGCACTGCCACCAGCTCGTGGACCAGTGCTGCAACGCCGAGGCCCTGCCTGTGGGCCGGGGTGCGTGCCCACCCTGGCCCCGCTCCCCTGTCCTGTATCTTTTTCTCTCCCTGCTCAGCGGCCCCGGGTCCTCTTTCCTCCCTGCTGTGTTCCCCTAAGCCTAGCCATTGGCATTCAGCTGTCCCGCCTCTTCAGGGCCCTGTGTTTGCAGGGACAAGGCAGCGATTGGAAGGACTGGTCCCTGGTAGCACCGTGGAGTGGTGGAGTGCTGCCCGGGTGATCTCTGCACGGTGGCCCCACACACAGAGTGGTCACCCAAAGGAATGGCCCCTGCAGATGTCCCAGCTTTGTGGCAGGCTTGAGGGCTAGGCATTTCTGAGTACAGTCTTCCCAGGTGGCCAGGAGTCGAATGCCCCCAGAGGAATCGGATATAGGGCTTTGGCAGAAGCAGAGCTAGGGGTGGTTTGGTGCTGTGAAATTTCAGGGCGCAAGGTGAGCCGATGGACTCCTGAGCCTGCAGCTGGCTCATAGGTGAGGTACAGGTGGTGAGTGGGGGACTGTTTCCGTGTGAAGAAGCTCTTTCTTCACTCTCTCATTCATCCACCCAGCACACATTCACTGAGCAGATCAGAAATCCCCCAGCCGAGGGGAGACGGTGTACACAGCAGGCCCAGGGCTGGAGCGTGGCCTCTGTGGGAGTAGGCCTTGTGGACGTGAAGTAGTTTGAGTTGGGGGCAGTGTTCCAGGCAGGAGCCATCTCCAGATCCAGCCAGGGTGCTCCCTGCCCTCAGGGCTCACGGGATTGGAGGCTGCTCCGTGGAGGGCTGGGGAACATGTCGGGCAGTGAAGACCCCTGAAGCCCAGGTGGGCTGTGGTAAGTCTGAGGCCGTAGGCTCCGGGGCAGCGCACCTGCTCAGCTCCCAGCTGTTTGACTTGGGAACTTCCTCAGGCGGTAAGCGTGTTAGGCGGAGAGCGAGAGATACAGGTCAGCTTCCCACAGCACGGCTGAGAGGTAGGGGGAACCCAACTCCTGCCCTGGCAGCGTTGCTGCGCCCGGAAGTCCCTGGTGGGGGCGCTGGCTCCTCCCGCTCCCTTCCTTCTCTGTGAGGGCAGAGTGCGCCCACCCCGCCTGACTGACAGGGACGCTCGGAGGGCCCAGTGGAACGTCGCCCTTCTAGGGAGAAGTGAGCTGCAATCAACATGCATCATGATTTATCTCCTGGCTGCATCTTCACAAATATTTATTATTTAAAATTTATTTGCTCTTTTTTAGTTTTGCTTTCTCTTTATTTTGTTAACCTTGAATGTGACCTTCCCCGAAATACCCCTTTTGGTTCATTTGTGTGGTAAAGAAGTGTCGAGAACATACTGCGTGCCCATATGCTCCTTCTGATGTGTCGACTTTATCATTGTTTACCTTGGTTTTGCTTTATTTTCGTTCTTTGGTTTTGTTTTCTTTTAGCACATTGCCCCTTTGCTCAGAAGATCTCCTGCGTTGGTGAGAATGTAGGGGCTTGAGTAGCCAGCCACATTGCTTAAGTTTGATTCATGTCCCATCATCCATTGCACTGTCTTGATTCCAAACCCTAAACCAGGTAGGTGATCCCTCTGATGAGCTCTCAGCTGAGGGAAATAATCATGGAAAGATACCTGTACAGGGTGGTTGCTCAAGAAGCTTCTAATTTTGTCCCTTAGGCCTCATTAGAGGGTAGCAGGAACAAGGTATCTTGGTTTTCCTCTCGCCATCCCTGGTAGATAATTTCTCGTCACCAAGGAGAAAGTCCTGGTCGCGTTGAACTCGCTGGCTCAGTGTTAGCAGGTTGTGGTTTCATCCCTGAGGTCCTGCCAGGACAAGGATGGTGTTAATGACACAGCTGATGAAGGGTGTTTGCTGGGGACGCTGATGCTGGAGATGCTGATGGTGGAAAGATCCCAGACGAGCATTCCAGGCCCCCGGAGGTGGCTTAGAAGCCAGGAGTAGTGGGTAGTGCGTTCCCAGCTCCGGTAAAGGGGACACGTGGGAGTCCGCTCCGCACAGCTTCATAGTGCCGCCAGCGATACTTGACCAGGCTAACTCAAGACTGGGCGGTTACCAAGGAAGGCGGATTCCACGGTGTGTTTTGTCATTTTTAGCTCTGTCCGTTTCCCCCCTGAAGCTCCCCCAGCAGGCGGGGCCGGCCCTCCCCCACACCTGCCAGAAGCCGGTCTCAGTCTGGCCAGACCCCCCGGGCCGGGCTGTAGCAGGGCCAAGGGGGCGCCGCCGTGACCTTCGTGCCACCACAGTCCTGCTACAAATGTTCTGTGACAACTGTTGTGTCCCCTTTAACTCCCTACCCAGGGTTTGCCGGGACAGGTGTTCTCGAAATCTCCGTCCTTGCCCAACCATGAGGGGTGCCTACTTGCCACAGAACTGTCTGCCTTTTGGGTGATTTTTTTTTCCTTTTTCAAATTCTCCAGAAGCAAACAAAGGCTTGGTGGAGCTGTGGGCGGTGAGTGAGTAGGTATCGCGGAGGACCAAGGCTCCCAGGGATGCCCACCGTAGTCACTCAGCAGATAGCGTCCATCCCCCGGGGCAGCTGTTCTGGGTGCTGGGCCTTCCACAGCGAGCGCAGGCTGTAAGGCCGTCCCTCCCAGGCCCAGGCCTGGGGATTTGTGAGCACTCAGTTTACCGAGTAAGGGACTGACGCCAGGAAGGGGCTGCTATTCAGCACCCTAGCAGACCCAGAGACGGGCTGGCTGAGCTCACATTCTGCCACACCTAGCCGTTTCAGAGACGTTGGGGGACCCAGCACGTCTGTGGTTCAGACAGCCTGCCCTGCACCGTAGGCCACATTCAGGGGGCCTGGGAGTAGATCTGGGGTAGCACGGATCTGTCCCCGAGGCCTGGTGGCCAGCGAACCTGGCCAATTGTGTTCTCGCTTGTCTTTCAGGAAGAGTCGGGCTGTGGAAGGACATCTTCACTGTCTCCATGAACGAGAAGTTTGACTTAGTGTACAAGCAGAAGATGGGGAAGTGTGACCTCACGTTTGACTTTTATTTATAGTAACAGAAACGGCAAACCTGCATGCTCACAATACCCAGACACTCTACTAGCTCAAGTCCCGTATGCATTCATTTATTCCTTGCTGGACAAGCCTGGGAAGCAGTGTGCGCAGCCACGGGGGGAAGGGAGCGCGAGAAGTCCAGGGAGCGCGAGCGTTCCCGGCCCAGCGCGGCTGCCTGGCCTTTGGAGCCTGCAGTCTCCACCTGTGTGATTACAAACCATATACCAGGTGCAGCTATGACGGACTGTGTCCTAAGTATAGAATACGTAACATATGCAGCTAGAATGTATACCTCTTACAGCCCCCACATGATTTATTGTATTTTATAGAGCTTTTCACTGGAACTCTAAATAAACGTCAGTAAACCAAATAAAAGTTCGTTTCCGGGGGAATCAGGAGCAAGCCACACCCGGATGGTAGAAAGATTTCAGAGTTCACTGTATTTATTTTTGTAGTTTTCTTACCTGAGGCACAGCCGTGCAGGTCTCACGTGGCTCTGGGGTAAGGATGGGAATGGAGGAGGAGTTTAGGGGTATGTGTGGGGGAGACACGTTTGATCTGAGAATTTAGTTCTTTGTAACCTTCCCAAAGTGAAGCAGAAACTGTCCGGTAGCATATTTCCAGAAAAGGTGCCCCTCTGCAAGAGACTCCAGTGGGCGGCTCTGATACGGAGAAGCTCGCGGAACATTCCATGAGGGACACCTGCTTCGAGGGTCCAGCAGATGGGAGTATAATGCAGTCGGTAGCATTTGAAGGCAGTGACTGAAGTCAGCCACAAAGAGAACGAATCACACTCGGAATCTGAGTTTAATTCCGCAGCCTTGTTTTTGTTCCCTGAAGCAGTAACCTACTTATGCTGGCAAGCAGATGCTTAATTGTAAATGTCTGAAAATCCTGGATCTTTATCATTCCGTTTGCTCAGCCTGTACCTGAGGCTCTCGGCTGCGGGAGAACCATTTTGCAGATTTAGCGCCTGGTTTCCCCCAGACCTGGGCTGGCAGTTCTACCTTTGTCTCTCTGCTCTGTCCCCCGGCACATTGGAGGGAGTGGAGGTGGCAGCATTACTGCTTCACCACCTGCCTCCTCTGGCCCTGTGGGTTTGGCCGGAGGAGTGCTAGCCAGGCGGCCAGATGCCCAGCCGAGCTGCTGGCTGGTGTTGGTGTGCACATCGCTGCCACGGTGGGGGCTGGCCTGGCTTCTGCTGTTTTTGTGGCTGGGAAGCACTCAGAGTAGGGGGCAGAGGGCGGCTCCTGTGTCAGGGGTCTGTCTCCTTTCTGGGTTGCTTTGTTGGAAGCAGGTGCAGAGGGGTGCTTGCATTTCGTTTGCACAGGGAGAATCTGCGAGCACAGCAGGGGCATGGCATGGCGTGGCATTGCATGGGGGGCTTGGCAGCACCTTCTCTTGTCAATCTGAGCGAGGCTGCTGTCTGTGAAATTTCATTTCTATTTTTCTATTTTTAGTACTGTATGGATATTATTGAGCGCTACACACTCTACTTCTGTGCTTGCTTGCATCTTTAATAAAGACACGTTCTGTGTTCTGTGCACTGTGTTGAGCGTGTGTGCTGGCGGTTGGATCAAGGGGCCCCGACATGGCCCCTTCAGCTCTTCCAGAAATGCAATATGAGCCCCACCAGCAGACACCCAGTTTCTGGGTTGACCGCAGAGGGGCACAGCCCATATCAGGTTTCCATAGGCAGAATTTTGCCATTGCCCTCAAATCCAAACTTTGCAAGGGTTGAATTCCTGTCCCCATTTCCCCATTCACCGGAAGTGGAAGGAAGGAAGAGTGGGAGAGATTTTAGTACCTGAAGATCCAGCATCTCAGCCCTTCCGAGTGTCCGCCTGGAGTCAGGAGACCCCCCTGAGACCCCACTGTTGGGACCCAGTGCCCTGGGCTGGGAGGGACTGACCTGCCAACTCCGCTTACCAGCAGGAATTCACCAGTCGGTCCGTCTCCTGAATTCCATGTAGAAGTAGTCCAGGCCATTATTTTTCCTGAGAAAGTATGGGCCTTCTGAAAATTCACGTTTGTTTTCAAATGGAGTAGTTCTGCTCGGGCTCAAGCCCTGGAATTTGATGTGAAATCTGGGACCGCGTGGCCCCTAGGTTAGTTAATCGAGTGTCAGTCTGCTCTGTCCTCAAGGGCCTGCTTGAAATCAGGTATCAGCCACGGAAAGTGATGCCGCCCAAGTGGGGTCTGCAGGGCAGTGAGTGCGCTCGTGGTGACTGACCAGGGCTCTGCGGTCGCTAGTTCTCACTTTATGGACTCATTGCATTCTAGTGGGGAGACACGTGGTCATACAAAAACAGGACCTAAGGTAAGTTCAGGCTGAAGGAGACCAAGGGAAACCAGGAGAACGTACCAGTGGAGGGCTGGGGGCTGACACAGGTGTCAGGGAGACCCTCGAGGAGAGGGTGCATGCCAGTGGGGGCTGGGGGCCCCTGAGGAGAGGGCGTGTGCCAGTGGGGGGCTGGGGGCCCCGGAGGAGAGGGTGCTGGAGCAGGGGCTGGGAGATAGGGAACAGGCGGACCTGCGTGGAGAGATTCCTGGCGGGAGGAAGAGGGTTGGTGTGGCAGGACCGCGGTTGTGGAGGGGTAGTAGGAAGCCTTACAGGTTATGGGAGTTTGGGTTTTGTACTAAAAAAATAGGGTTTTAAAGGAATGAGACCTAGTTTGCTGCTGGCTGCTGCGACTAGACTGCAGGGGTTTTTATCCCGCTGTGACCCACTCAAGCCCCAGAATGGGGGCGAGGCTCTGTTAGAACCCCTCCAAGGTTCCCTCTAACAGTCTGCTCTCCGCCCACGACGGTGGCATGTGCTGGGCACTGAAGGACATAGACAGTTGCTGCCTTGCTCACTTAGGGAGCTAAGACCAACACGAAGGAAATCCTTCAAGGCAGAAGGTAATGAAGGGCTAGGAAGACTATAGGTAAAATCAAAATGTGGGGAACGGCCTGATGGGGTGGGAATAGTTGCGCTGGGCCGTGTTTGAGTAGGGCCGTAATGGCAAGGGGCATTTGGGCAGACAGAGAAGGCGGAGGGTTACTTTTACTGAACAATTCACGTAGCAGCGTCCCTGAGTATCAAGGCCCTCTAGTGTGAGTCCGCGATTCTTGACCTTCCAATTTCACAGACCAATGAGATTCCAAAACGTGTTTTGGGGACCAGCTATTTATTTTGCCAGGTAGGAACTCGGACTCCCAGACAGCAGTTAGCTGCAGCTTACAGGCTGGGGGCCACCTCTGTGTCCTCTGGTTCCAGGACTCTGTGTCACCTGGAACATGACATTTCTTTCCCCTCGTGCTGCCCAGTTTCTTCATCTGAAAAAGGACCAGTGAGGACCTTCCCGCGGCCCCTGGTGGCACAAGCAGTTTGCGATTGTCTAACCTAAAGGTTGGCTGTTTGAACCTAGCCAGTGGCACTGCAGAAGAAAGGCCTGGCGATCTGTTTCCGTCGCTTATCTGAGCCAGTTTCATAATTTGTACAGTGGAGATAATCATCCTACTTCATCAGGGGGTTATAACAACAATTAAAAAAAAAAAAAAGTGAAATCTCTTTGGAAACATAAATAAAATTCCCAAATAAAAGTACATCAAATCTCTACCCTGCACTACCCTCCTCTGCCAGCCAGCGCGCGCCCCCTCGTGGCTGAGTCGCAGTTGACAACAGACTCGCTCAGTTCCGTGGTCCAGAGGGGCTTCGGTATGGCTTAAGGGTGGGGCTAGGGGACGCACCCTGACCCAGCAATGTGGAGGAATGCACAGGCGCCAAGACACACGGTCCCCGTCCTGGGACAGTCCACATGCAGGGCAGTCTTCGTCCGCCTTTCTAAGCTGGGTGGCTGGCAGTGCCGCCTGTAATGGTGTCCGCTCTGCACTGCCTGCGTCCTCCTTTGGCCTGTTCCTGCCCAGCCAGCATCACCATCCGCTGTTATTATAGAGTCAGCAATTTGAGACTGGGATGGCACCGGTCAGCTCATCCGACCTGCCCAGGAGGCACGCCTCTAGGACACTCGGGCAGCTGGACTAAGTCCCTGGTAGCTCACCACTCACGGACGGCCCATGTCTGGCCCAGCCTCATCCCCGAACCTCTTCCCATGCGGTTCCCTGCCCTCTCCTGGTGACACGGCCCGGCCCTCGGCTCAGCCCCAGGCTCCCTCCTCCTGCATCCTCCGGGAGCCCAGCCCCTCGTTCTCTCCTGCGTCTTATCCCCCTTTCCTCTCTCTTGGCACCTTCTGGGCTCTGCAGTTGCCTCTTGGAACAGTGAGTGCCTTGAGAGCAGGGACTGGCTGTGTCATCTTTCCTAGGTCAGAATTGGGCTTATAATCAGCACTTGATACTTGCTGAGGGAGTGAATGGCCTCTTTGTTGATTTTGTTTTTTCCGGAATCCACCTGCCCTGTACTCTTCGCACTGCTCCTGGCTCTGCGCTTGGAGGTCCTGCCCTCCCAACAGGAACCCCTCGCTCCATGCCATTGCCCGATCCCCCCATGTCTGTTCGCTGCCCGTGGCTTGTGTCCTGGTCATTCCTACAAATGCCCCTCTTCTCCTCTGGAACGCCCCTCTCAATGGGGCCTGGTCTCAAGTTTGGGTGTAACAGTAGGGTAGATGGTTTTCTGGGGCCCTTTCTGTCCCTGGCCTTCCACCTCCATCCCAAAGCTCAGAGACAGCCGATGAAAAAACCTGTTGCCGTTGAGTCAATTCCATCTCGTAGCAACCCGATACGACAGAGCAGAACTGCCCCCATAGGGTTTCCAGGGATTCGAACTGCTGACCTTTTGGTTAGCAGCTGAGCACTTAACCACTGCACCACCGGGGCTCCCTCAGAGACACAATGCCCTGTAAAACGACCTGGGCATTCCCATCTTTCTCCCGCTTCCTTCAGCTCTTCATTTGGCATGTGTTTGGCATCTACTCTAAGTAAGGCCCCGTGCAGGGCTTGGGGACACAGCCTCAGTACCCCTCCCCTTCAAATCCAACCCCCACTTTCCTCTTTCCTG